CCGTGTTTATGCTGGGAGTTCATTTTTATTTCAAATTATAATTGAGGTAAGAGAGGTGCACTCTATAAAGAGCACCGGCAACTGCAGCTGCGAGACGGGGAGGGAGGAATCTCACCCGGAGTGAACCGCTGAAACTTCACGGAAGTTGTGCAAACTTAAAATGTAAAATGCTAATTTTTAAAAAAAAGTATCCAGTGATGTCTCCACACACTATGATTTAACAGTGTAAATGGGGCCTTAGTGGACACAGGCGCCGGGGCAAGGTGGGAGAGGATGGGGAGGCAGACGACGGGTGAGCAGAGGCAAGCGTAGTATAGTCAATATTTACTCTGAGTAATTGGTCTACACTTCCCTCAGCAAGATACACAGACGTCCAGCGTCATCCCTTCCTTATCTCCTTCTGTTCCCCCTCACACACCCGCTGCGTGATTATAGTTGTTCGCTGCAGTGTTGTGCAACTGTGCATAATGCCCTGAGCCATGCACAACATAATAGTTAAAAGCATATGGAATGAAGGATCGAGGGCGCAGCGTATGGGCGCGCTTCTGTCCATTAAAATTCTCCGGGTCACCTTGGGAGTGTTGCAGTGTCCACAGTAGTGAGTTGTTATTGTGTTTCTCTCGCAGCGACATCTGTAATGAGCTGCGTAGCCGCACTTGCCGCGGTAATGAGGTGGACTAGTTCGTTACCTCGGTGGTAAACCGCTGCAAGTAGTCAAGCTTATTACCGCATCGATAGAACGACAAGGGCGTCGGGATGAGATGCGCTGAGCTCGCCAAAAGATTGACTCACAACCTGGATTTGAGAAGCGCCGCCTGGAAAAGGTTTGATATTGGCAGCGTTTGAGGCTCATGGGACGAGATGAGCTGTCTGTCAACCTTCTTCCTTCATTGCTCTTTTTGGCCATCTCTCAAACCCACGCAGACACAAACACACACACACACGGCAACAACACACAGTCCTCTCTCTTGCCTTTCATGCTCTCAAAGAAACTTTCCAATTAACCCGGTGTCTCTGCGAGCCAGCCCTTTGAAGTCATTATACACGGTTCCCTCCTACACTCCTCCAGCGCGGCCCTGAATGGACTTTTTCTGTCGCGTTTTGTTGTCTTGTGTTGTCAGCGTCGAGTGGCCCTAATCACGCTCATTGTGCAAATTGGTGGATCTGAGAACGCTGACAAAAGCTGCTAAGAGATCTAAAACACTCTACAGTATAAGGAGCAGGGCTGCAATATAAAGAACGGCTCCGATAAACAAAGAGTGCGGCTTGCAGGATTCGCAGTGTTTACCTTTCGATTGTGCCTCGAACTTCATCCTTATCAGTCAAGTTCAGATCAGTCGAAGCGCAGCAGCAGCAACGCATATCTAAAATACAGTATGTCAACAAGAGATTTCATTTTGTGATAAGATGATTGTTAACCGAACGTTTTAATTTGTTATACTTTGCTCGTGCTGTTTTTCCATGAAATATATTTAATACATTTTCAGATTTTTTATTTATTTATTTTTTTTGAATAACACATGCTTTTCCATTTGTGGTTTGGGAAAAATACCGCTCTCTTTGTTTACCTCTTCAGATGTGTCTGTGTACCGCTCCCCCATCAGTTTTCTCACATGTTTGCGTGAGTCCCTTTGTCAAAAAGAGCCGGACAGACAAGCAATCGAGGCCAAGAGCCCCAAGAGACCGTCTGAAGACAGCGGTGTTTTATCAAGCAGATAAAAAAAAAAGAAGACATTGGGCAGTTTCCAAACATCCCTGGATGAGGGTTTGGTAGGAGTGAGAAGCTTTGGCAATTTCTGATCAGATTGAGATTGTTGGGGTTGGGTTTGATTTAATATTGATTCTTAATCCATAATGATGTTGACTCAATGAAAAGAAAAGCAATACGAAGACAATCTGAGATGTTCTTGTTCGTTAGATGATAGTAAAAGAAGCAGGTTCTCTGTCTGTCATCAGGAGGTTCAGATTAGAGAACATCTAATGTTCTGTGTTCTCCAGACAGGAAGAACCTCCCAAGATTCTTCAAAATAAAGTGAAGTTGTTGAAACTAGCGTCACTTTTACAGGAATGTCCAGCGTCAGCCTTCCTACGATTGACAATCATAACATAAAACAGTTGAGGTAAACAACATTGATATTTCGTAACTACTTCGATAGTGAGCCATTGGTGTGAGAAATACTCAAATCCTTTACTCAAGTAAAAGAACTAATACCACACTGTAAAAGTACTGCTTTGAAAAGTAAAAGTACGTCAGTAAAATCAGGAAAATGTTCTATGGTATTAAAAATAAACATGAAAAATGGCTGCTGTGACTGTTTCAATGTATTTTAGTATATTATATAATTAGATTATTAGTACTCATGCATTGATGTAGTTAAAGAAAGGATTTTACTGTTGGAGTTTACCCCTCAAAGAATCACAGTACTGACTGAATCAGAACTGTTAGAATACACAACCCTAGACAACAACAGTAGTCCTGCAGTGTCTTCAGGAGGATATTGTGTTCTGTTACACTGCAAAAAAATGTTCAGGAATGGATTATAGGAACATGACGAAGAGTTCAACTTGTCACCTTGACCTCCAAATCCAAGCTTGGTGGTTAGCACCATCGCCTCGCAGCTAGAAGGTCACCGGTTCACATCCCGGTGAGGACGCCTGGGATCTTTCAGCGTGGAATTTGAATGTTCTCCCCGTGTAGCGTGGGTTCTCTCCGGGTTCTCGGGCTTCCTCCAACAGTCCAAAAACATGTTGAGGTTAATTGGTGATTCTAAATTGTTCGTAGGTGTGAATGTGAGTGTGCTTGGTTGTTTGTCTCTCTATGTAGCTCTGTGATAGACTGGTCACCTGTCCAGGTGAACCTGCCTTCACCCTGAGTCAGCTGGGATAGACTCCAGCCCACCTTGACCCTAGTGAGGATTAAGCGGTGTATAGATAATGGATGGATGGATGGATGGATGGATGGATGGATGGATTTCCCACCTAACAACTCATAAAGAATCAGTCGCTAACGTCTCGTTAGCTGATTCCACCGGACACCTTCAGAGGTCTTGTGGAGTCCAGGCCTCGACAAATCAGAGCTTTTTTGGCAGCGGTAAAGAGGACCTTCACTATATTAGGCAGGTTGTTTTAATGCTGTGACTGATCGGTGTATGTTTTGGCTCTTATTCCTCTTCATACGTGCCAAACCGCTGATTGTCCTTTGCTCAGTGAGCTGCAAATGAAACATAGCTGATTGTTAAGCCAACTGGTTCGGATGATTTGATTGCCGGACTAATAGAAAAAAGCAGGAACAAGGTGTGTGAGAGGAGGCAGGTGGTTTGTACAGTAAAGACAACAACTACAATGAGACTCTTGTATATGTGTGCAGCTTCATAGATTCTTGTTTCCACCCACACCTTCTGCTCGTATATCCGAGAACCTTCGAAACTGTGAAGTGCTGTCCACATGAAGGGTTCTCTGCAACGTCACTTGGGTCTAGTGTGTTTCTTTATGCCAAAATATAAGAAGAATCAATCACAAGAGCGCTGCTGTTTCTTTTACTTTTGTGAAGAAGTCAAAATAATAAAAAAAAACACTTACAGTTGAATGAGTGCGATGAATATTGAGAGAAATCACAGTATGAATGCTTTCCTGCGCTCATGAACTACAAGAGCTCGCTGTCTTTATCCTTCAGCGTCTTGTTTCTATATTGCGAGAGACAAAAGAGGGGTTTGCGTCATCCCCGCCGAGGATCAGAAGGGTCGTGCTGCCTCATTTAGGAGAGGATCTATATGTGGTTTCCAGTACCTGCTGCGGTAAAAGGGCAGTGAGGGAAGGATGACGTAAGAACAGACCGATGTGTCAGTTTCTCAGCTGGGTTCTCGGAGGCCGGCTACATCTTCTGAGCGAATATCAACTAACCGTGGCGAATAAATGTGAGCGCTGGTTATGAATTCGTAAAAGCTCAAAAGTCAAAGATTTCACCGCGTGTGTCTAAGTGCAACAGATCAAGTGGTTAAAAGAGCTGCGTGTCTCTGTAATGATTAATTTTAGGAAACAAACCCTGCTCCCTCTGCAAAAGCGAATTAATTTATCTGATTTATTTTTGAAACCTTGAAAGAACAGAAGCGCCATCTACTCTTTGAACATCACTGCAGCGGGATGTTTAATCTCCGCGCGGCATCTCGAGGAAAAAAAATGAGGAAATTTTGGAGGCACTGATGTGAGTTGTGACCATTCTATATTTAATATTTTTTCATCTTTTTTCTTATCATTGTTCTCCGCAATCGGAGTCAAAACAAGAGAGGATCGGTCGTGTCGATTAAGGTGTAAAGGTTTGAGCTTCTTCTTGTTTTTTTTGTTTTTTTGCAGCAGGTGCAGCTTCTGCATTCTCTCGCTCTCAAGTGTAATGAAGTTGCCTGCCAGCTGAACCCAGTTTCGGCGCAGCAGCATAAAAGTCGGTCTGTCCGGGGCTCCTCATTACTGCAACATAGTTTTGTTTACGAGCTAAACTGCTCACCGCAAAGTGTCAAACCTCAGCCAAAAGGCCATGTTTCACATTCCAGCCCATTATACTGCAGCTGCACTGCGTCAACTCGAAATGCCCTAAACTAGTCCTGGGCGCATGTTCTGTGCTGAATATGTTCATTTGCGGTGTGTGTGTGTGTGTGTGTGTGTGTGTGTGCATATCTCTGTCTCAGGTGTAAATATGTGCTTTGTGTCTATATGAGCGTTCTGTATCCTTATCTTCTCGATTGTGATATTGCCCGGCGCAAACAGTGACGCTTTCGCCCACGATACTGTTAACACCGAATGACCTCTTTCGCTTTTGTATTCATGAGACCGTCGTCTGTTTATTTGCCCTCAGATTGATGCGGCTTTTTTTTTTTTTGCATCGAGCAACTGCCTCCGATGGTTTTTCTATCTTAAGAGATAATAACCGTCTTGCATATATTGACTGCGGTGATGAAGAAAAAAAAAGTAATAGTTTCTCTCTTGTCATGCTTCCTTTTATCAATCAGAGAGCCAGCTGCTTCCGGGGAACAACTTCACCACCGAGTGCAACACCCCTGGAAACTTCATGTGCGGAGATGGGAAGTGCGTCCCGGGCGGGTGGCAGTGTAACGGATTACCCGACTGCCTCGACAAGAGCGACGAGAAAGGCTGTCGTAAGTTCCACATTATCAAATCCCCCCCCCCACCCTTTTTTTTATTTTTTTTTAGCCACTAACTCTGCCTTGAAGCAACGGAGCCAGATTGCCTATTTAGAGTCACGTCATGTCTTCTAAACTCCTGAACTCTTCTTGCTATCCAGCATTGCAGCGGTACTTCTTCTCCCTTCTCTATTCATAGAGCCATAAGGGCCATTTAAACCTAATTTTCTGCCAACTTAAATGAACTTCCCTCCTCAATCCTCCAGTCGTTCTCTCCGCCACCGTGCACCCGGCCTCCTCCTGTTCCAGACCCACGGCCCCGGTTTAGCACCAGGGCAAAACTTAATACCATCAAAGCAGAGGCCGATTACTTCTGTGTGCAGGAATAGTGGCGCATACATAATTCTACTGTAAGGCTACAGTAATAGCTCAGTTTTGATCCTCACATTTAGTTGGCTTTGATCTTTCTGGTCTGCTGCTCCTCCTTTTTCTCCCTCCCGTCTCAGCCGGAGCTGCACACAAAGATGGGATTGCTGATGAAGATTGACTTTGAGGCTCTGCCACACTAAATGGAACCCCCCCCTCTCCCCATCTCCGTATATATATTCATCTCTCTAAACGTCTCACACTTTTTCTCTCTCTCTCTCTCTCCTCTCTGCGCCTTCCCAATTTATCTCATCTGATGATTTTTGGCTTTTGGCTTGTAATTTGCTTCGCAGAGGCTTGTTTTCAATTAGAAACGCATAAACCTCTTCTCGCTGCAGATTCTTATTTTGTCTGACCCGCTCTCCGCCGGAAAGGAAATTCACATATGGCTCGTCCTCCGTGCTGTCGCCTCTCTTCATTTTCTTCTTTTCTCGTCCTCGAGCAGCCGCTTCTCTCCTGATGGCAGCTCTGGGAACAGGCAGACAAAGTTGTGTCCCAGGGCGTAAGCACAGACACACACACACAGCGAAACTTTGGAGTCATCAATCATCTTAGTTTGCAATGTCTCGGTAATTTAACTCATACGTATGTAGGGATTTTAATGAATTTCGTGGTATTAGACTAGGCTTTTCCGCATGATGTATTTGCCGACAGTCTGTTGCATTAACGAACCACCTTCACGTACAGGTTCGTGCCCCAGATTCTCATCACTCGGTTGACCTTAAACTGTCAGCGACTGTCAGACCTGGGAGAACAGTATTGAGACGCACTGAATCATTTTAAGATATATCCGTTGTTGTTTTTTATCTAATCATGCAGTTCATGTTAAGGTTAAAGTGCACAAATTCAATTCTTTGCAGCCACTATCACTTAAACCTACAAGCAAGCTCGACTTTTTTTTTTTCTTCCCTTCTCCGTCTGCTGTCGACACTGTGTACTGTATGCTGCTAAAGATAAAAGCAAGTTATCAGAAGGCATCACACTCAGCCTGCCTCAGTTGTCAGAGGACTATTTGTGTTTGTTGTCGACATCTACATTATCTGCTCTGGCGTAAGTGGGCCTTATTATCCTCAAATAGATGGCTAGTTGTCAGTCGATATCTTCGGCGACAGCTTCACAAAAATCCCCAGATAAACCTCTCCCGCTCCATTAGGACTCTGCAGAGACAGGCAGACAGACAGACGGATGGAGGGAGGGGAATCGAGGGAGTAAGGCAAGTAGAAAGGGGGGCAGAAAGGAGGACTCATTATGGTGGCTTCAGCAGCGGTTTTGTCTTTGTGTGTGTGTGTGTGTGTGTGTGTGTGTGTTATCTGAAGAAAACACAATGCCTGGAAACTTTGAGACTGCAGTGCTGGATTTCTCAGCAAGTAGAATCATAATTAGTCACCCCCCTCTAAGAAAACACACACACACACACTCACTGTTATGTATATATTTAACACAGGGGAATGGTAGATTTGCTATCGTGAAAGACAGTTTGTTGACTTAGCTTACTCTCCTTATGTCAGTGAGCTCCACAAATAGTGGGTTTGAATGCAGGCTCCTCAGAAAACCCGCTTTAATTTGTAGTGAAATATTCCTATCAGACTTACCTTTACATAACCAGAAATCACAGCGAGTATCTGATGCTGTCTTCTGCAATCACAGTCATTACCACGGAGCCAGAGCAGTGTTGACCACTGCAGGATATTACATTTCCTCCCGTTTTGTAATATGAGCGGATGGCTTCTGTCAGGAAGTGTCCACTTCCATGTGCTTTAATTGTTCTTCTGTGTGAATTTTGCATTGTTTCTTTGATCGCTTTTAAACCCGTGCAATAGCAAGTAGTTTTTTTTTAGCAAACGTCTCTCTCCGTCTGCCTGTCTGTGTGCGCTTTGCATGCATGCATACATACGCAGTGACGGTGTAGGTATAATGTGCCAACGTATAAAATCCTCTGGTACATTTTTTAGCCCAGACCGGTGCCTATTTTTACCACATGCATTTGCACCAGAAGACAGCTGTAGTTAAAGAGTAGATCCCCTGTAAGCCCACGCTGCTCAGCTAGCAGATTGTGCTGATGTGGATGTCTCAGATCCGAGGAATACTTATTCAGCGCCTGAGGTAAAGGTCATATGTGGTGACATCTCCCTGGTGCCTCATTAATGAGAATTTTGTTTTTGAAAAACCGTGTAGCTCAGGGGGGGAAACACAAAGGAGAACAAATCAGTTTTGACTCCTACAAATAGCTTGGTTTAGCATGTAAACAGCAATTTAATTCTGAATCTACATGAAACTGGAAAAACTTAAACACTTGTTCTGCAGCACCTACACTGACTCGCTCGCACACAGCGGAGAGCATCGGTCCAGTCGGTTCAAAAGTGTTTTGCAAGATAGATCCACCCACTCTTGAACTCAGGATGATACTTTCTGTTCGATTTTCTTTCCTTCCTTTTTTTATTTCTTTTACCAGCAGTTGCTTTGCCACAAAAATAAACCTTTCTCTGTCTCTTTTTTTGTTTACCTGACTTTATTTCATTCCTGTAAGCGAAGAAGTTTGAAAGAGAATCATGCAAGCCCAGTCTGCATTTGCTCACCTTAATCCTTTATTTATAACAGATGCGTCGCAGTCTCCTACACCTGACAGGCAGAGGGAATTGTCTCTTAAATGGTCAAGAATGCTTATTTACCCAGGAAAGGCAGGCTTCTATCTTCCTCCCCAACCCTGCTGCTCTTGTTTGTTTGTTCCTCCAGTCCCCTCCAGCACAAGGGTCAACTTGAGTCATGTAAATACTTTTTTGCTGCCTTTTAAATAACAGTCTGGGCTGAGGGAAGAGAGGCAATATCGCCAGCCTGAGTCTTATTGCATTAAAGATGCAGCTTATTGTATTACGGTCCTGCTGCGTAAGTCCAGGACCCCCTACAGATAGTTTTTTTTTTTTATCAAGTTCTATTTTTTATGGAGTGTACCCTCTACTTTGCTTCACATAAATATAACTGCATTGTAGATGAAAACATGTCTGTGGTTTTTCTAAGCATCTCCAATCTGGGGAATCTCTTCTATGTGGGTCGTGCTTGTATGTATATGTTTTGGCAGGTTCAAGGGGTCTTCAAGTAAAGATTCAGAGACAGGCTGCTGAATAATTCCACACACAAAGAGGTCAAAAGTACCATCCTGCTCTCTGGTGTCCATAACCCCAGCCTGAGAGAGTGTTAGATGAAATGGATGCTGACAGAGGAGAGAAGGAGGAGAGCTGACTGAGCTCACTGGGCCTCAGAGCCAGGATTAGCCTCTTTGCCCTTGTCTGGGCAGGGCATGAGCAGGCAAGAGAGGAGAGATATGTAGCAGGGCCGAAAGGGTGAGTGGACATGATGTACGAAGCAGGAAGTGGGAACTCAAAGACGGGGGTGGGGAGGGGACAGCAATGCTATGAAGAGAGAAAGAAAGAAAAAAAAGGCAGAGAAGCACATTTCAAACCAGGGATTGTTCTGCCGGCCGGAGGCGTTTCTGTGTTTGGAGAATCCGTGTGCTCACAAAGTTCTGTGCAACTTCAACTTTTGCTGAACTTTGAACTTCGGGGACCATGAGTGGACTTACTGGCTCTCACAGAATAAAAATCAGAACTCCTCAACCATAGCAAAGGGCTCAAAAGTTTCTGCACAAACTCAAAGTTGTTTGCGTGGCCATAGCATGTCCTCTAATCAAGGCTCCTCTAGCTGTCACTAGTGGCGCTGCAGAGCAAACGTTATATAATCTTAATTAAAACCAAAAGAAAAATGACTTTGCTTGAACTTCTCAGCAGTCATAAACAAGTTGTGGTCTCTCAGAAGTTGTTTTGTTTGAGTAGAACCACCGCTTTAGAGTCCAGACAACAACCGAAGCTAACAATTGGCATCATATGTAACACAGAGGATGATATCTACCCAATAATCCATTGTTACCCAACATTAAAATGGTATTAAGCTGAGTTTCTGTTTATCTCTTGTGCTGCTAGGCAAATTTTCTTTACTCCACCACTGTTTGACGTATTTGAACATTACATGGAATGCACCGAACAAGCCAATAGTGGCCTCTAAACAATTCTGGGGGACAAAGCGCCGTCAGGAGGTCTGGGGCTTTAGTCAGTGCCTTCTGAAGTCCCCTAATACTTCATAACAGTAAAGGATATAACTATTCGGCGTTTTCATTACCTGCTCCACTGTTTATCGATCCAGTTGACTCCTCATAACAGTTAGGAGCAGAGTAAATTCTCCTGCTCATTGGATTACCCAAATACTATCACATTATCGCATTCTGCAGTCACAACCCAAAATCCCCGAGCACGATCGATGGCGTTATTTGTTTTTTGTTTTTTTTTCTTGTTTTGTGCGCTGACCTTCACAAAATACCCACGAGATATTAGGTCCAAAACAGCTTCTAAATGCTTATCAACTACAAAGTTGTCCTTTTGGGTGAAAATCACTAAAAAGACTCCTGAGACAGATCGGTGTAAGATTCAGATATCGCTGCTTACACGCTGCCAATTCTTCACCAGAATCACCGCGGATAGTGAAGGGCTCGCTCAGATTAGGAGTGTGTGCGTTTACGTGATAAGAAAAGTGACCAATGCATCGATTCTTAACTCAAAGAGCCATATTGTGCCGGCAGAAATTTATTTTCTTCTTGTTTTCTGTCCCGCTGAGTTCTGCTCTGCTTTGTTGTGCCGAGGTATTCTTTGCTCTGAAAGTGTTTTTTTATATATATATATATGTGGCTCTGTGTGGGTGTGCAATTTAGGGGGACTCAGTGGAAGAAAAAGCAGGTAGGATTAAGAGTCTGTGGTACTTTCACGACTCTTGTTTTTTTTTTTTGTTTTAGACTTGGCTAAAGAAAAATCTGTCAAGCGAGCAGGAGCAAGAAACTGCTGAGGAGCCGAGGAATCCGAGGAAATATGGAGTGTTATTGGCAGAAAACGTAGAGGAAGGTTTAAGGAGGACTGAGTGTGGTGAATTCCATGAACCTAAAACTCTGACTGATCAATAACCTGGTGTAATTAATACCAAACAATTAAATATTCATTAGAATCTTCCATACAGTCTCTGATTCTGTCTCTTGCTTCATCTTGTAGGTCTTTTCTCTCCCTCCTAGTCGCAAATTAGGCAAAACGATCCACAACGTTCGAGGTCTACCGGTTCGAACGATGCAATTTTAGCAGCATGTTGCTTCCTGTGATGAATATTGCAGCAGAGTGATTATCGGACGGACCACGCGGTGCCTTTGCGCCGTACGCCCTCGCTTTCTTCCCCTTTTGTCAGAAATTATCGGAACATTACCGACGTTTTGCGCTCGCTGTAAAGCGCGCGAGCCACATTTGCTACCCCATGCAGAGCAAAGCTCGACGGCCCACAAATGCTCGAGCCTCGAGATGAATGCGGCTCTGTAATGTTCCAATGAAAGCCTATTGTACGAGGAATGTGCAGAGCTCAGACAGTGAAATGTACAGAGTGATTATTTTGATCCCTCGACTGAAACTAGCCGTGCCCTCCTTGCTTACACCCTGACTCCATTACCTATTGATTTCTTCCCTTCAGAAATGCGCAGCAAGGTCAGAGAAACCTTTTGAAGTCCTCGGCTACCTCCAGTCTTTCTCTGCTCCCATTCTCTCCTCCTCGCTCGCCGTGTTTTCTTTCTTGTTAGTCTCTTCTTCCACTCCTTCTCCCCACTCTGTCAGTCATGCATGCCCATCATGACTGAGCCTACCTGTGCTGAACAAGTTATTCTGTTCTCTGAGGAACCGAGTAGAGAAAAGGGGAAAGCAGAGAAGTGCGGAGGGCAGAGAGGTGCATATTGCAAAGCGTACTATCTGCAAGAGTTGGGCTGTCGGATGCAACCTGACATGAATGCCGAAGCCACGGGGGAGATGAAGACAAACAGCAGTACTCCGTTTCCACTTTGTGCCGGATTATCAAATGATTTATTCTTAAATCCAAAACATTTCATGGACTTTCAACTAGGATTTGTTTTACCTGTAGATTGTCAAAATGCGAAGGGATTTTAATGTTTTTTTGCATTTTTAAACCCATCAGACAAATGGAATGTGGACGTTTGGTGAAAAAAGTATGAATATTGTCAATTAAAAATCTTCATAATTGTGCAAAATTGCAAAGGAAACATTCAAACAGACAGACACAGGCAGGGTTTGTGTGTTTGTTTTTCTGCCTCTGTTGCTTGTGTGTCCTCCAAATGTGTGTTTCAGTGCGAACCACCCATGTTTTTCTGCTAGTGATAGTTTTACCTCAAGGAATCAGCCCGACTGCTAACCTCATTCGTTTTCATTTGTGCTGCTCAGCCGAACGCTGGAACTAAGTTTGGAAGCCGTCCAACACCCTGCCTGCTCTCTCTCTTTTTTTTTTTTTTTCCGTAAACAACTTCTACAAAGGCTTAGAGGAGAGAAAGAAAATTTGGCATGAAAGTACAGCAGAAACAGAGTGACGACAGAAGGGAAGAAGATGGGATGAAATGGATGGTTATAGGTCGGGGTGGAGGGGAGGAGGGGAGGAGGAAGAGTGAGGCGGAGAAATGGATCAGCATGACCTGGATCAACAGCGGGGTTTAAATCTGAGCAGACTATAAAACAATGCCTTTACAAGACTATCAAAGGAAAATTAACAAGTTTGTGTTTTCGCCATCTCGTCCACCCTCCGTTTGCTCCGTCTAATTAATTTCTCGTTCTTTCCGCGATAGGGAAAAAAAAAAAAAGAAAACACTCCTCGGCTCAGGCTATGAAGGGCTGTGCAACCCCGAAACACGGCTAAGCACATTAGCTCTATCCCTCCAACCAAGCTCTGTCTCTTCCCACCCACAAATTTCCCTCCGTGCGCTTGCCCTTCATGTGACTTCTCAGCTAATTTGGAGCACAAACACTGGGTCAGATGAATCCTAGCCAGCAGTAGAAGTGGTAATGAGGATTCAGATGAGGGAGGAAGTGGGGATCTCGGAGGAATAACGCCGCTGTCCTGGTAGCCAGTCTCACCAAGTATATATTTTTTTTTAAAGAAACACAATCAGGGTCTTTGCAGAGAAATAGAAACTTCACACTTTTCAAAACAAGAAAGCAAAAAAGAATACAAGACATTTAAAAGAAGATGCACACACAGAGAGAATAAAGGATTATGTTTCCTTTGTTTGTAGCAGGATGAATTTCACTCCGCAGCGTGTTTGTATGTTTGTTTTCTATCTTTTTGCTACAGCTCCAAACCATGTCTGTTTTTTTCCCTCCCTGGACTCTAATGAATGGGATGTACCATGCAAAATGAGATTTGGGTGTTTAGGGTCTTTGCTGTCCAGGTAAACAAAGGCTTCCCGGAGTACATACACACAGAGATCGGGCACTATCCCCGCTTCCTCCCGCATTCGGCGGATTACATTTCATCCTGGAGATGGGACGCTTCAAACCCTCGTGGTTGTTATGCCTCGCCCTCCCTGCCTCCCCTCCCCACCTCCCCCCCAACTCCTTGCTACACATAATCGCCACAGCTTGAAAGAGCTCATAAATCAGCCTACCACAATATATTGTAGAGGGAAAAATGTGCGCCCCTGGCATTTGAGACGGCACAATGCCAACCTAAGAGCGGGCCAATTCCGCCCTTTTGTATTCAGTATAGAGAGGGGGGGAAAGAAAAAGAGAAAAAAAAAAAAACACAAAGAATGTTTGGTGGCTGGCTTTGAGATTTCTAGTATGCCCACTCACATTTCCCTCTCGCTCTGTGTGTTTGCATGTGTGGGTTGCTCCGTCCTTTTGTTGCTTCGTAGTGGTTATAATATTTAGCATGCTCTTCCCCGTCTGGCTTTCACACCGAGTCTTATTTAACTTATATCATAGCAACATCCTTGCTGTAATTGGTATCTTTTTTTCCTTTTGTCTGTCTCCAGTAAGCACTGCTGCAACAAGAGCAATTTTACAAGTTTAAACTTTTTGGTGTAATAATGCACATCGCTGGGAGGGAAGTAGTTCAACAAAGGCCAGAGTGGAGAGGTCTAAGAGAGGAGGTGGCTCGGTAATAGCTTCTGTGTCTTTTGTGTGCTTTTCCTTGTCGCCATCAGGCTTTAAAATTCGAACTTCGCGGTGATCAATCTCCAGCAAAGGCTTTTATTTTCTGATGTCTTTGCTTGCATCTACCTGTTATCTTGTTTTTCTCCTTTATTTTTTTTTTTTTTGTTGCCAGGGAAGATCAATGTGTTTGAGCTAAAAGCTGGGGAGCTGGCGCTAAACTGAGGACGCCGGGCATTGATGTTGTGCAGGCTCGTCACTCAGTCTCAGGCCTGTCCTGGGAGATAAGACCCATGGCCTGCTTAGGCTGATCAATGGCGGGATCCATAGAAACACCGTCCCACACGATTTGCTCTCTTTGTCTTTGTCATTAACTTGTTTTCCTCTGCTATCAGTACTTGGTGCTCAGGATCTTACCCTTTTACTTGTTATGCTTATGAGGATGTGATGATAAGCAACACGGAATGAAATGAGCTGAATATTAATTGGCCTCTCGAACAAAGCAGCCGTTTTGACTGTTTGAACCTTGGTTTCATTTCTTTTTTTTAGAACGTATAATTCAAGCGGCGCGTTGTCAGTTACATTAGAAAAACTTGAAGAAAACCTTGTTGGCCTTATTGATGGGTCCGTCCCTTCCCTTGTGCATCACAGCCAAGGCTAATGCTGTCATAAAACATGATGTAGTGCTTCGGAAACTGCTGCATCACTCGCCCATCACCCACAGACTCATCCATTGTTCTTCTTCCCCCTCCCTCCCTCCCCGAAACCCACCCGATTGTCCTCAGCTAAGGTCAAGTCGAAGTGTGCGCCGACGTTCTTCGCCTGCGCCAACGGCGTCCACTGCATCATCGGGCGCTTCCGCTGCAACGGCTTCAGCGACTGTCCTGACGGGAGCGACGAGGAGAACTGCAGTGAGTCTCGCGCATCCAATAACAGCAATCTGCTCCACGCCACGGTCGCCAGAAATCATAGCCGGCTCCGTGATGTACTGTCCTCCAGTCATGTGGGTGGAGGAGTAGTGAAGTGTAGTTAACTCACATAAAATACCAAAAGAATGAAATCTGAGCAAAGTATTACATCCAGCAGTTCTGACATGTTTTACTCATCATGTGCCGCAATAGCAGGTGAATAATGTGTTGTGCGGCTCTGGCAGAGCTTTGTCAAATCTGAGGAAGTAACCCTGCTTATCTCCTAGTGATGTCACCGGGGTTATCTCAGCGTGGGTTTGGAGACTGTAAATATGTGACAGATTGCAATATGGGAAATGTAGGCTCTCGTACATTTGGAGATAGACCCACAGTGAGGACTAAAAGTCACCATATCTGGTTAATGCGTCTATTAAACTTCTGTTTTACTGCCTCTGAAACATGCTTCAGCAACAAACTATTAAAAAAGTAGTTTTAATTTGGTTTAATAGAGCAAATGAATGCAATAAGAGTACTTAGTGATAAAAAATGTTCATTTAAATTTGCCAAGACGGACGGTAGACAAATAGATATCCAATTAAGATAGCAATCACCACACCTCTGTACATCTTTCACACTTTTTCTCTGTTCTCCTGTTCTTTCTCTCCTTCCATCTTCTCCTATCACATTTTTTTTTTTTTTAAAGTGATTCATGATTGGCAAATTAATGACAAAATGCTGCTTAAAAATGAGCCAATATCCAAACCTCCATCTTCACAAGTTAGGTAATTTTTAAAGGGCAATACCTCATGCAAAGAATTGTTATAAAATGTCACAGCAGATGTGGATTTTCTTGCTCTGGCTTAATTTCCTTGATGTCACAACAGAATTTTTCATACTTTCTAATGTGAATCAATTGCAATTTCTGCTGTGTTGCTGCTCTTCCACTAACTCCTCGTTTCTTTTTTTTTTTTAGCAGATAATAATTCTGGTAGTGACAAGGGTACGAATGTAGTGAATTCTATTATATTTTTTTAAAAGTCATCTTCATTTGTTTGCTCTGCCTGTTACTCATGACTATGCACCCTGCGTTCACCCTTTTGCTTGAAACAGTAGACAGACTGTGCCGTACTGAGAGAACACTAGGTGTAGTCTGCATTATCAGGCATATAGTTTGTTCTCTCATGACCCCTTCGCAGCTTTCCCAGTGGGGAATGTGAATCAAGCCAATCACTCACCATTGTCAGAGGCAGTGTTCCTAGCCTGCAGGGCCCCATGCTCACAAATCTAATCTAGCCATTTAAATGGAGCTTTGCTCCATGCTCCCAGCACATCCTGCGTCACGACTGTGTAATTGTCTGGATCTTCTCACAAGATAATTATGCCTCATTTTGCAGAAGCTAGAACAAAGACCAAAACCAGAACGTGTTCCAAAAAGGAGTGGTGTCGCTCTGAAGGGTGTTTCGAGAATGTTTTCTTTTTCATTTTAATATTTTTAATTTCAGTTTGATTTTTATCAGACGCCGCCGATCAAACACTTCACCAGCTCACACAGTTTTTGATGCTTCGTTTCTTCTCCGAAAATGTCCGCGAACACTCATGTTTATTTTTTTTTCTTAATCATATCAAAGTGTTGCAGATGGGACGGGATCAAAAAAAAAATATACCAAACCAACTTCTAACAAACTTCCCAAACTACCACAACAGAATATTAATTAAATATGCTTTTGAATAATTTGTTTACGCACTGAAGTTTGTTTCGTAGAGGAAATATCACAGCTGCTGTTTCGCGGGTGCAGCTCAAACGGGGGAGAAGGACTGTCGGCTCAGAGCTACTAACACTTGACCCCTGATCTCTGCCCTGACTTTCAACCCCAGCAGGCAACCCGCTGGTGTGCTCGGAGGCTCGCTTCAAGTGTCGGAACGGCCGCTGTGTTGACCGCAGCTTCTTGTGTAACGGTCAGGACAACTGTCAGGACAACAGCGATGAGGAGCTTTGCCTGACTACAGCAGGTAAGTCGCTGAGCTGAATGTACGAGGCGGCCATGCGTGCAGGAGAGAGGAGGGGGGGAGAAAAGAAAAAAAAAAATTCAGGTCTTCTTTTTAAAACTGGAAATGGAACATCCACCCAGGCATGGAGAATCAGATGTAGGCGCAGGCTGAGGACGACTTAGCGGTGAAGAGAAGCAGATGAGAGACATTCCCGATTGAGCTGCACGTTTCAAACCGTCTTACTCGGGTTTTGAGTTGCAGCTGGCGTATTTCATCGAGCACAGAAAAAAATTCGGCACATTTAATCAAACAAAATATGCATTCAGTTTATGAGAAAAGACAGAATTTGTGCAACGAATAGCAGTCTGGAAAGATAAAAATGTAAGCTATATGGTGACACAGACGGTATGTGGTGTAATCACTAAACGCGAATTAATGAAATACTAAGTAAATAATTGGTGCACAGATTTAGAGATGCAAATTACAGACTATCTGCTTCATCACAAACTGCAGCTGGAAAGAGCTTATTTACAACTGATCATTTGTGCATTAATTCGCTGTCCGTTGAATGAAGGAGCACATTTTTTAAAGAGTATAATGCACAAATTTGAAAACATGTGATTTTAGATGAATGAAACGATGAAGTGAATGTTCAGAAAAGGCACCGCATACCAATCATCTGATTAGCAGATAATAAATAGTGTCGTTTTTACGTCCACTGTAACTGGACATGTAGATAATAGTCTTTTATGGAGAGGCAGCATAGGAAAGGTTAAGAATACTATACAAGGCTCAGTCAGAAACAGCTACAGAGACACTAGTTATGCTGGAAATCAGATTTCTGTCATGATTGAAAGAGAAAGCCTTGAAATAGCCAACAGGCTGTGCATCTTTAATAACTGTATTAAAGACCCCCTCCTATGAAAATCAAGTTTTTAACCGTGTTTACATGTCTTTTTGCTTTTGGGGCTTTTTTTTGTTTGTTTGTTTGTTTGTTTTTCTTTGCTGGAAGGCACATCACGAGAGAAATAGGCAGCTGATGCCATGACTCATCATTTTCACCTTGAGACTGCAGAGTACTGATGACAATCTCAGAAACACAGATCCAGACACACAGAGTTTCTAAAGAATCAGTCCTGTCAGCTTGCAGGGTGTTGGCTTTCCATGTTGGTGTTTTTCTTCCAAATTGGTTTCCAGTTCAAGCATGTGGCTGAATATTATGTATATTATATAGTCGTGACTCGATAATCCGACACTAAATGTAAAACCTTCTTTTATGTCGGATTGTCAAGACGGAGGTCGAGATACAAGGAGGGCTTGAAGGCTCATTTGTTGTTAATTATTGTTCATAGTTGTTATAATAACTAATGTATTGTTAGAACACTACGCATTGCTGGATTTCACGTCTAACTGATCAGTGCGCTTGTGCACGGGCCCGTCAGTTGACATCAAAGGTAAATACATTCAGACAGCAGGCTGAAGTGACCCAAATCCGATTTTTTTTTTGCCCCCATGCAACCTGTAGCTGGTCTTTTAATGACAGTCTGAACAACACAGATCCAATTAATGATGAATATCTGAATATTTGGCGTGGTCAGGGGTACCATTTCCACCCGGGGCAGCGCTCTGACGGGGTGGAAGTGTCCAGAACACACAGGCAGTACTTGTCTGCTGATGCTAGTTTAATTAGAGGTCACAGTTCTGTTTCCACCTTCAGTTGCTCCACCGTTACCATCCATGTTTACTTCCGTAAACACTGAGCACGCTCGCTGCGTGTGACGTCGTCGTGTCCTCTTCTGCACATGTGGGACACTTTTGGGTCGTATGAAGTTCACACAGCAGATCACATACAAGTCGTATTTAATTGGAAATGTGAACGAACTCGCAAAAAAGTCGGATTTGACAAAAAAATCCAAATTGAGCATCAAGTCCTGCAGTGTGAACGTAGCCAATCTGTGGGATTGTTCAGTCAGATAATACGCCGTTATCCTGATTGGTGACATTAAATGTCATGTCGGAGTCAGAATCCAAGGCTGTCGGGTTTAGGGGTCGGATTATCCATACTATATATTGCCATTGTTTAGCATGGAGTAGGTTTACAGTGTTTTGAGCAGAGTTGTAGGTGAGCTGATGTGCTTGAGCTGCAGTGAGCTGAAGAGAGGACTTCATGGAGGAGGGATCAGTGTAGAGTTACATCTAAGTAATCTTGAATCATGATGGGATTACTTTCATGGGAAAAAAAACTTCTAAATTTGTGACATTGATACATGGTTTTAATCAATGCAGTCCATTACAATCAAAACAAGGCAATTTAAAGCAGGGTTTTCCCAGTGTGTATATTCAGCCCAAACCTGTTCAGTATGCCCTGTAAGCAAAACAATTACTGTCAGAAGTCGATTTATGTCGACATACTTTCCCTCCAGGATTGAAAATTCTCCAGTGCTGGCTCCAACTATCAGGTTTTGGCGGTGCACCAGTTGTTGTCTGTCAGCTATGGGATGCTAGCAGGGTTAGCCGTGAAAGTTGGGCAGACACTGTGCCTTTTTTAAAAATGTTTTAAAGCATGTATGATGTGTTTACTGACACTAAACGCTTAGTTTCAGTTTTAATAAGCCTTCCTGTGCAGCCAAAATCTCCACTCGCACTGTAAATATCAATTATAGCGACAGTAACAGTAAAGGTTTTCCAAACAAGATGGTTTTGTTCTTGCTGACAAAAACAAACAAAGGCAGCTTTAACGGCATTGCTGGCTAATGAGTAATTTAATTGTACTACGAATATGCTGCATTTTTTTTTTTAAATCTTGCATTTGAGAGTAAACAGCATCTTATCAACAGTATGCAGCATCTGAGTTCCTTAACTTTCCTGGTGAGTATTATCGAGAATTCTGCAAAAGTAAATTTTAATTTCATCTGCTGTAATGGAAACACGCAGAACTGTGATGAATGCCGGTAACTAGTGTCACATTTAGTACGACCAAATTTGTGCAAAATGTTCCCGTTAAACTTTGCCACAGATTTCCAAACAGGTGGAAGCTTGCAGATACACTATTAATCTGGATGAAACTCGGTCACTCGATATGTCACACATCATCTGGTGTTTCTGGAGACATCGTTCCCGCAGTCTCTGCCTCATACAGATACAGCGAAGCCGCTGATAGATTAAAGTTTATGCCAAGGAAGACGTAAGCTGCTGTGATTCTACTCTCTCAACATTCCTCACCACGCCCGTTTAAGAAAGAGACACAAGCCGTGGCATCATTAGTAATGATTGATGACACTGTGCTGACTTGCATTGTAACAAAGATAGCAGAAGAATGATCCCTGATAGTGAGTCTGATGCTTTTTGGCGTAGAGGGCCTTATTCACCGGCTGGCACCATTTATATCTGGCGTACCGTTCTGGCACAAGAATCGGCTACTGTCAACAACTCAGGTGCGCCTCCGTCGGATTCCTGGTGATTTCTACCAACATCCAACCGGGATGTACACCCGACCCAACATCCTGTTGTCTTAAAACTTCCGTGCATCTCTTTCCTTCCGTTGATGTGCTGCTGTCACATTGATTTATGCTACGAGGGAGAAAAAAGAAGTCTGTCAAAAACAACTTAAGTGAAAACAAGCTAAGTGCAAAGTACGAAAACAAAGTCGACAATCACCCGTCAGCATCTATCGCCCGCAAGACAGTAATGTTATTACCGGTACCGAGGCGGGCGAACTCAGCAGAAACTTGATTGAAACTCAAGAAGCAAAACATGTCTGGTAAACAGAGGAGGAGCTCCGCAGCAGGTGGAGGCGCTGGAGATGCATGAGCGCAGTAAATCCCTACGAAAGTTTTCAATGACGTTTATTTATGGCGTAAAATAACTTTTCCATCTGCTTTGGACAAACGGCTCTGGCACAAAATGACAAGATCATGGTCACAGGATGGAATTGTTCTGCTTTTGCCTGCTAATGTCTTACCTCTCAAATGAAAATTCAATATAGTTACTCAACTTTTTTTGTTTTTTTTAAATTTGCCTAATTAGGGAAGCTGAATTAGCGAGCCTCATTATTTCTCGTGTGCGATACCGGGAGACGGAAAGAGAGAGAGAGAAAGGGAGTCCATCCATAATTACAAGCCCATCCGTCTCAGACTCAATGCAGAGGCACCGAGCGCTCAACACAACTGTATTGTGATGCAGAAATATTGATTGATATCTGTGTCCACTGCACTCCATTTCCTTGTTGACAAGCGAACAATGCCAGCTCCAGCGCCGGCTTTGCAGAATGTGGCTCCGTATCGCGATTGCATCTGAGGCATTAGATCTCAGAAAACAGCCTTTGCAACAAATTCCTGGATGCCGTATGGAGCCGAGGAGATCAGACGGCTGGCTGTTGGCAGAAAACCTAATACTGGATGATTTTGAAAGATGCTCCTTCTGTTAAATACAATTTAAAAAATCGATGTAGTCGTATAATTCTAATAATAACTATGTGGGATTTTTCTTTTTTTTTTTTTTTGCAGATGCATTAGAAAACATTATCTTTTACATGTGTGATACATTATATCGTAAAATGTTCAGACACATTAACACGGGCTCAGTGAAGATCCGCTAAGTTGTTTATGATTACTGGTCCGGGGTACGATTGTTTAACTCGATTTCCTGCTAAGAGTAAGTGCTCTGCCTAGAAGCAGTTTTATTAAAAGCCAAGCTGCTATAGTTGACTGAGAGGTTTCCCAGAATGCCTCCATCAGGAAAATGTCTCCGGGTGATGGAGTACCGAATGTTATCTTTTTCTTATCATAGAAATGCATGAATTTTCACCTATCCAGCAGAGTAGTTTTCAATTCAGCTCCCACCTGAAATGTGTCAGTGCACCTACTTCTAACCCGGCTTTGTGTTGTTGTTGTCGTCTTCCAAAAGAGTCCTTGTCAGCGCGGATTTTGTTGTAGTAGTTTGTATTTATGTCTCGCAAATGACCTAAATGTTCTCCCGCTTGTTTTTTTTTTCTTTCCTATGGAATATTTCTGTACCGCCGC